AGACATCTTTTCCCCCAGTACTATGCTTTCCCCCAATACTGCGGCAAACTTAGCTGCATAAAATATGTTGCTCTCATGTTGAATTCTTTTTTTTTTTTAAGCTGGCCTTGATTAGATTTTAAGTTGAGTGAAATGTCCTATTTTGTGTTTCTGTCTTCACTTACTGAGAACAACATGTTCTTTTTGATGGGCCCAGAAGACTAAAGACTTGGATTTGCAGCCATGGTTTGAAAGAAACTGAAACTGTGATTCCTTTTGGAATATTCATTTGACCATAAGAACCCCAACAACAATTGGTTTGGAACAACAGTGGGATAAAAAATCAGCACAGGGTAAAGAAAAATACGAGCAATGGGTAAAAGGACCAGATAGCTTACCAGGCATTTATAGAGCTCAAGTCCAAGATTCCAAGATAGGACATAATAAAAAAAACAGCTGCCTCTTCCACAATTGCATTTTAAAATCTCATTCTATGCACACAAATTTTCCCCCTACTGTCTGATGCATGCTTTTGTTGATATGATTTTTATTTTAATAAGATAGATTTATGGTCAAAGTTTTAATTTTAATTCTCAGGTTTATTTAAAAGAAGGCAGTTTCATAAGACAGTTGTTCTGGATATTTATGGAAGATGAGGCAAAGAAGCTGAGATAGCCAAGAGAAAAAAAAAAAAAAAAAACTCTGCAGTTTAGCATTCTTGTCCCTGTAGGATCCTTCCTTATATTATGGAAATTTCTGCAGACCTTAGGCCATGAGTATTGAACAGATCTCACCTTCCACAGCTTCTCATTGACCTACAGCACAATATAGGGTTTTTTGAACATAAAAGAATCATCGACAACCTCTCTATTACTCTAAGAATTGTTTACCCATGTGATAAAGAAGCCTCTCAAACTCCCTTAATTAAAAGTATGTTACATTGATGACCCACCTTCCTGGTGGAGAAACTGAAATCCACCCAGCCTCTTTCTCCCCTACCAATTAGATCACTTTCTCTGTTTGCATCTTCTATCCTATTAGCTCTGGGGTATCACAAGGATGATTTACTTCTGCATTCCATGCTGTCAAGTTAAAGAACAGATTGCCCAGGGTCTTGAACATCTCTGGGTAATTGAAGCTTTTGCCTTTGGGGTTATTACTTTTTAATCACACTATTTGAGGAGTTTGGGTGAGGAAAGCACTGAAGGTATGCCTGCCCGATTTGTCTGTCCTACTCATTTCAGCCTACTAAGCTGGGTGGTGACTAATTCAGAAAAAAAAAGGCAGACCTCAGTTACCCCTCCTTTTATGATGCTATCTGGATAGCTGTGCCCACATGATTTCAATGTTCTTGCATCTGATAACATTAAGGTATTTAAGCTGGAGAGAAGCAAGAAAAGAGGTCAAAGGAACAAGAAAAGAAGAAGACACCCTGCCGAGTCTGTCCTTGCAATAGTAATGATCATTTTGCAGAGATGTGTGGATTTTTCAGAAGAGTCAGGCAGGGCAGGGCTTTGATACTGCTTAAAATTTACACGATGGCTTTAATTTGAAAACAATTTAAAAAAAAACAAACAAAAGAAGGCAAGCAAGGAAGTAACATTTCTGTGAATAACACTGCTTTTCTAGCTACTAGTGGCATCCATGATGTTTCTCTTTTTTAAAAAGGCATTTGAAATTCAGTAAACCATGCTTTAATGTATTACAGCTTTTAAAGGGAAATTTCTTTACACATGGCAACATATAAGAAACAAAATATGATTGAATTATTGTATAGGTTAATTAATAAAGTTAGTTAACAAGAGTACATTTTAATTATATATGATGACGCATCTTTTTATCTTTAAAAAAGTTTTATAAATGAATGGCTTTTTTGTATAAGACCAAATTGAAAAATGAAAAGCAAACTGTTAAATCAGCCATCCAATCACTACCAAACTTCTGAGTGTTTTCTCCAAACATGTGGATCTCATTCACTCACTCAACATTTAATGAAATGACTTCTATACTAGACATTATGCTGCATAGGGGTGAGGAGATACACAATGAGTTATGTATAATCCTTGAACCTCAAGGGCTTGGTCTAGAGAGTTTATGTATATTAGTTTCCTAGTGCTACTGTAAGAAAACAGCATAAATTTTGTGGCTCAAAAAATAGAAATGTATTCACACACAGTTCTGGAGGCTAGAAGTCCTAAATCAAGGTGTGAGTAGGCCTGGTTTATTCTTGGGGGCTCACAGGAAAATGTATTCTTCTAGATCCTGATGGTTGCTGACAGTCCTTGCATATCTTGGCTTGTAGCAGTACAACCCCAGTCTCTGCCTCTGTCATCACATAGCCTTCTTCACTGCATGTGTTTGCATCCAAATTTTCCTCTTCTTATGAGGACACTGATCATTGTATTTAGGAACCACCCTAATGTAGTATGACTTTTTCTCAAATTCATTGTATCTGCAAATACCCTATTTCCAAACAAGGTCACATACTGGGGTATTGAAGGTTAAGAATTCAATATATCTTTTTTCAGAGCAGACACGCTTCCACCCATAACACTATCCAACAAGACCCTCCACAGAAGTTAGAGGATCTTGACTGAAAGATCCTGGAGGTGTACCACCAGTGTCCAGGGACTGCAGAAAGCATTGTAAGTGACCCGTCACAGACAATGCAGGGAAATGGAAGATGGAGGATGGCTTCAACCATCTGTCCTAGCAGAATGAACCAGTACCATTATAGAAGTCAGTCAAGTAACCCCTTTCCTGCTAGGTCACCAGACCAAGCCTAGGGGGAAATAGAGAATTGGACCACAGCCCCCAGTCCCATCACAGGCTTACAAGATCCATCTACATGAAGACAGAAGACATAACCTGAAACGAAGTTTAGAGTTTTGATTATTAGATAGGGCTAGACATTTATTATTGGCCTGAGACTTTTTGAGGACTAAAGTGACCAGAGATGTGTTAGTCAAGAGTGAGCAGAAAAGGCATGAACCTACTTGATTTTCATCTAAGAAGGTGACAGGGCAAATAACTATCCTACACACTGGATAGGTAAGGCAGTTATGAGGAAAGAATAAAGTTGCTTTCAGTTTTACCTGACAGAGCACAGCTTGTTCCGCACATACCTTAAAACAAAAATGGGTGCTTGGTGTGTTTGGATAAAGAGGCTGTGATGTAGTCTGTGTTAAAAGAATTAGCCAATAGGCTGAGACAACTCCAGTGCCTTGGGTTCCTACATAAGCAAACCAAAACTCATCTCAACAGAAATAGCAAAATAAATTTGATCTTAACCAGTCAGAAACCTCCAACTAGAGACTTTACCAATCAGAAACTGACAGCTAACTAGGGACTTTCCACCAGATTATACCCAAATTAGTCAAATGCCTAGTTGTAGCTGATTAAGTACTACAGTCTCTCCTTATTTGTGGGAGATTGGTGTTAGGACCCCCACTAATATAAAAATCTAAGGATGCCCAATTACCTTGCATAATTTATTTGCACATGACTTATGCATATCCTCCCATATATTCAAATTATCAGTAGATTACTTAAATACCTAATACAATATATACACATCACTTCATTTGATTAGATTCAATGTAATACTCAATGCATAACAAATTCAAGCTTCACTTTTTGGAACTTTGTGCAATTTTCTTTTCCTGGATATCAGTAGTTGATTGAATCTGCTATGTGAAGCCCATGCATACAAATGGCTGACTGTAATTATTTTACTACAGTGTTTAGCCTACCAAAGCCCATTGCTCAGGCTGTTAAAGCAGAACTCCCTGAACCTCTTCTGGTTTTGAGTGCTACCTGATTCCTTTATTGCTCAAATAACTCTGTTCAATTTATTTTGTCTGTACAGTATTGTTTTTCAATTCCTGAGATAGTGATGTGCCTACACCCTTCTATCCCCTCAAGACTTTCCAAATTCTGTAGCTCTTGAGAACATCCAAAAAGTTCCTAGAACCACTGGAGACAGTCTCGGAAGGCAGTTGAGGTTGAGAGCCATATGCTCAACTCTGATGGGGGCGAGCCAAGGTTGATATTGCTGTGTCCTAGGCTCTGCATGTTCCCCATGTGCGACAGACCTAACGCTAGGCTTGGCTGAGCCTCGGAAGACTGGCAGCTCCAAAGGGCCACATCAAAGATATGGGAGGCAGATAGAAGGCAGGGTGGGTTTCATGGCACTGATCCGCCTGGGTATCCCTCTTTCTGCCTGTGACAATTCAGTGACAGAAAAATCTTCCTATGTTGACAGTTCTGTGACAGCAGGTCCCAAGTTAGATCAGCTAGAAACATCTGCTCCAGAAGTTAAGACTGGCCTTGAAAACAAGATGGAACAAGAGACATAATCCCTACCTCAGTGGCAGTGGAGGTGACTGAGGAGGGCTTAAGGATAAAATGTCTCACTCCAAAGTCAGAGCAACGATTTGCAGTTTGGCATTCATCCTCTAAATGGGTTGGGGAGGAAATTTGAGTTAGATCTATTATCTACTCCCAAGGGTGCAATTAGAAGGAACTGAATTATTTGATAATTAAGAGTTTTCTCCATATTCAATAAATGGTTCTGGGATAACTGGCTAGCCATATGCAACAGACTGAAGCTGGACTTTTCCCTTACACCATATACACCATGTCTTGAGTTGATTATCTATCTTGAGAATCAACTCAAGATAGAATCAAGAATTATATGTAAAACCCAAAACTATAAAAAGCCTGGAAGACAACCTAGGCAATACCATCCTAGACAAAGGAATGGGCAAAGATTTCATGACAAAAACACCAAAAGCAATTGCAACAAAAACAAAAATTGACAAGTGGGATCTAATTAAACTTAGGAGCTTCTGAACAGCAAAATACATTATCAACAGAGTAAACAGACAACCTACAGAATGGGCGAAAATACTTGCAAACTATGCATCCAACAAAGATCTAATATCCAGGCTTTATAAGGAACTTAAATTTACAGGAGAAAAACAACCCCATTAAAAAGTGCGCAAAGGACATAAACAGACATTTCTCAAAAGAAGACATACATGCAGCCAATAAGCATGCAAGAAAAAGCTCAATATCGATGATCATTAGAGAAATGCAAATCAAAATCACAAGATACCATCTCACACCAGTCAGAATGGCTATTACTAAAAAGTCAAAAAATAACAGATGCTGGTGCGGTTGTGGGAGTGTAAATTAGTTCAACCACTGTGGAAAGCACTGTGGTGATTCCTCAAAGAGCTAAAAGCAGAACTACCATTTGACCCAGCAATTCCATTACTGGATATATGCCCAGAGGATTATAAATCATTCTACCATAAGGACACATGTATATGAATGTTCACTGCCGCACTATTCACAATTGCAAAGACATGAAATCAGTTTGAATGCCCATCATTGACAGAATGTTGTTGTTGTTGTTGTTTTAATGTGGTACATATACACCATGGAATGCTATGCAACCATACAAAAGAACGAAATCATGTCTTTTGTGGAAACATGGATGGAGCTGGGGGCTATCAACCTCAGTAAATGAATGCAGGAATGGACAAAATGAATGCATGTGGACAAATACCACATGTTCTCACAAGTGGGAGCCAAATGATGAGAACTTATGAACACAAAGAAGAAAACAACAGACACTGGGCTCTACTTGAGGGTGGAGGATAAAAGGAGGGATAGAAGCAGAAAAGATAACTATTAGGTACTAGGCTTAATTCCTGGGTGATGAAATAATCTGTACAACAAACATGCATGACATGAGTTTACCTGTGTAACAAACCTTTGCATGTATACCCAAAGCTAAAATAAATGTGTTTAAAAAAAGTTTTCAGCTGCATGTAAAAATGTGGCTTTAAGAGCTATACTAAAACTGGGTGCAGTGGCTCATGCCTGTAATCCCGGCACTTTGGAAGGCCAAGCTGGGAGGATCACATGACGTCAGGAGTTCAAGACAAGCCTGGCCAACATGGTGAAACCCCGTCTCTACTAAAAAAGTACAAGAAAATTAGCCAGGCATGATAGCAGGTGCCTGTAATCCCAGCTACTTAGGAGGCTGAGACAGGAGAATTGCTTGAACTGGGAGGCAGAGGTTGCAGTGAGCTGAGATTGTGCCACTGCACTCCAGCCTGGGCAACAGAGCGAGATTCTGTCTAAAAAAAAAAAAAAAAAAAAAAAAAGAGCTACACTGAATTAATTCATAGAGAAACAAAGATTATTTTGTTAGGTACATCTATGTTAAGACTGTATTTTTTAGCCTGCTACTGAAATAATTTTGTTGGTTAAAGAGGGTGGGTGAGTACAGTTCAGAAAGTGGACTGTAGCTGGTGCGGGAGAGAGGTCCTTCACCCAAGACAACCTGGTTCAACATAGAACAGATACATCCTAGAGGAAAATGCTTTCTCTGGCTACTGAAAATCAAATATATGGCATTAAAAAGAGATTCATGTTTCCACACTACAAAATTAAGTGCATTATCTGCTCAAAAGCTGCAGCAAACTGTTATTTTAAGTTATATCACATTATTATGATACAAGGGAGGCAGTAAAGATAACAGGAGGCTCTAAGCTTTCCCTGCTTTCAGTGTCAGGGCATGAAAATCTATTTTTAGTATCCCAGAAAACACCATTGCAATGGACTGAATGTGTGAATGTGTGTGTCTTCTCAAAATTTGTATGTGGAATCCTAATCCTAATCCCCAGTGTGATGGCACTAGTAAGTGGGGAATTTGGGAGATAGTTAGTTCATGAGGGTGGAGCCCTGATGAATGGAATTAGTGACCTTCTAAAAAGACCCTAGAGAGCTCTCTTGTCCTCTTTCCACTATGTGAGACACAGTGATATGGCTATCTATGGACCAGGAAATGGACCCTTACCAGACGCCGTGTCTTCCAGCACCTTCATCTTGAATTTCCCAACCTCCAGACATATAAGAAATAAATGCCTGTTGTTTACACCACCCAGTCAGTGTATGCTATTCTATTATAGCAGCCTGAGCTGACCAAGACAGCAATACAGTTGCCAGATTTACTGGCACTTGGCTCCCAACTGGTATTAAGCATGTGGAAATGCAAATATGAGATTAGAATTTATTGATGTAAAAGCCAAGTGGAGGAAGCCCTGGAATTTTCTAGCTGCTGGTTTTCAGGTTTACCCTTTTCAATAGTGCACTTCACTAGCATGAAAATGCTCATATTTTGAATAACAAAAGTAAACACCATAACTAATACATATGTAATGCTTAGTAAGCGCCAGGAACTATTCTAAAGGCTTTATATACAATAACCCATCTAGACTTTACACCAACCCTATGAGTTAGTTACTATTATTATCCCCACTTTACATTTGAAGAAATTGAGGCGCAGAAAGGTTAGCAACCTTGCCCAAGTTCATGCAGCTAATAAATGGCATCTCTGGGGACCATATAGATAATAAGATAAATAAAATGAAAGGTGAAGAATAGACTAGCCTGGGATAAGTGTGATTTATTAATATCCTGGTTTTTGTAATATGTAGGGAAGGGAGCTATGATTATTTCCAATCATTCCTCCTTCCCTTTTCCTCAAGAAAGGGCCATTTTGCACAAGCTGAGTTCTTTGCTTGTTCAGCACCTTCACCAGCAGAGGTCCACTCTGAGCTCTGACACACCATTTATTTCTTGGAAGGATACCACAGAATGGGCAGGGAGATAGCTTAGCATCTATTCTTCCAAAGATACTCAACAAATCTTCCAGAAAGTACAACAGAGATATTTAAAATGATAGGGAAACATTGCTCATTTTGGTCCCTGCCTTTTAAAAAATTGGTATTTTCCAGGTTTTTTTTTCACAGTTATTGAATAAGTTATTTTCACAGTTATTGTTGGTGAGAAGTAAAAGTAATTATCTAATTTACAATCAGACAATTACATTTACTACACAGGCCAGAAAGGGCTGGTTCTGGGCAAAATTATTTGAGGATGAGGAAACCTGAAACACATTCTATCTGATCTCTTGACTTTATAGGTAAGAAAACTGAGGTCAGAGAATGCAGGTGATTTACTCCAATTAGGAAATTCTGTTATGTGGACTCCTAATCCAGAGCTATTCAGAACATACATAAATACTACACATGGACACACTCAATAGAGACACACACTGACATGGATGGACTCCCACATATACACACACATGCGTACACACCTGCATACAGTCACACACTCACAAAGATACACACAAGCACAAACACAGACATACATGGGCATGTACACATGAAGTGCCCCACTTTCATATGAAGCCATATTTTCTGCCTAAATTCTTCATTAATAATCAGGTAGTTAATAGCACTACCCTTCCCTAAGAACATTTGCATTTTAATAGATGTCTCCAGAAAATAAAAGTGAAGGCCTAAAATAAAGAATTTTAATGGTGTAATTTCAGACAGAGAGTCAGAGATTGAGTGCTGGCCCAATGTCCTTCAAGTTGCTTCATTGAGGAGGCTTTTTTTTTTTTGTCCTTGGGACCACACGTATGTATATGCAGGAGTCTACAGGTGTTGGTGTTTGTGGACATGTCTCTCTATGGGTGTGTGGGTCCAAGTGTAGTGTATATGCACGCCCTGAATAGCTCTGGACTAGGCGTCCAGATAATTGAATTTTCTGATTGGAGCAAATTACATGTGTTCTCCAGCCTCAGTTTTCTCATTTGTAAAATCAGGAGATCAGGCAAATATTCACTAAATGAACATTCTTGAAAAGATGTTAACATATCTTCTCAATCAAATTTGGCCCCATCTCCTATTGTCACAATTTCACTTTCCCCCACGTATGGCTCATTTAAGAATAATTCTTAAAATAATTGTTGAATAAAAAAGAATAATGTGTGTAAGTTATGATGAAATTGTTCATTTTTCTCTATTTTTCCTCTTCAAGAAGACAAACTGACTTGGAGCTGTGGCTGTGGTTTCCAGCCAGCTGGGTTTGTCTTACTGCTAAAAGGAGACTATAATTTTTTCCCCCAGGATCCTCCTGTTCCTTTCAGGTTCAGAGCTCAGCTGTGGATGGAACCCACGTGTGGCTTTCCCATTTTTAACATTGAAATACAGTGTTCATTAGAACAAAAGCTTCTTGTCCATATTGCAGGGTTCGATATAAGTGGTCTGCCTGGCCCACACATCACAGCTTCCTTCATATTGCAATGATATTGTAATAGCTCAGATTGTACATTGAGGTCAAACTCAGCTATTGATCTATTTAAACATAAATACTACAATTAATTAGAGATGGGCTTGAACTAAAATATCTGACCTTTCTGGGTTCTTGAGGGTAGCACTGGAATAACTTCATGTAAAAGCTAAAAATCCTGAGAAGGACATTTTCTACTCAAAATTACTTCCAATAAATGACTTCACGGGGCTGGACCCAGGACCTGCTTCATTAGTAGTCAGTGTATTCCAAGAGTTTAGCATGAAATGACCATCTCCATTTACACCAGAGAAGTTCATGGTGGTTGTGGAACAGGTTGGTGAGGAAAGGGCTTGTTTCTTGAAATATGTGTATGCCAAAGTGGAGAAAGACAAACAGGAATGTTTTTCACTTGGCTTCTAGCCTCCTGGAGTATCTGTCAGCATTTGAGGAATGCTGATGTAATTGAGCACCCACTATGTGCCAGCCACTGTTCTAGAAGCAAACAAGATAGAGAGTCTGCTCTCATCCTAAATTCTTCATTAATAATCAGGTAGTTAATAGCATTACCCTTCCCTAAGATCATTTACATTTTAATAGATGTCATTTAAAGATGCTTGCACAGGATAGGAAGATGGTGCTCCACACCATCCAGAGAGCTGCATTCGTATTCCAGTTTTCTTTCCAGAAATTCAGGAAGGGACGAAGGCAAAGGTAGACACCAGGCTCTCATAGAGGCTCCTCAGTGGTGAGTGGGGATGGGGTTGGGTCCCCAAGCTCTCCATGCATAAAAGAGCACGTGTCTGCTCACCACAGTGGCACCCAGGTGACTTTCACTGAACTGATAGGCAACTCCAGTTTTTCATTGTGGCCAGGAAGGTCCCATGTGATGTGGCCCCTGTCTGTCTCTCCCATTTCATCCCACTCCTTCCTCCACTGCCTTGCCATGTTCTGCTCCACTGGCCTTTTTTTCTGTTCCTTGAATGCAACAAAGTT